ATGTTTTCCTCTAGAAATTGTATAGTTTTAGCTTTTACATAGAAGGTTAACATTTGGCTCTATTATATATAATACAAAGAAAATAAATACTGTGAACAAATACTGAACAATTATATGAAACAAGTTAATATAGCATAGTGGTTAGAATTTTGATGTCTAAAAATAGACTAAGATTCTAATCTTGGTTCCAACATTTATTAGTTGTGTGATCTTGGTCAAAATATTTAACCAGTCTGACTTTGTTTGTTTGTCTTTAAAAGGTAAGAACAGTCCCTACCATATGGGGTGGCTCTAAAGATTATGTGAGAAAAGTAACAGAAAGTATTGTTAAACAAATATAGCTCAGAATTAATACCATAGTAAATTAAACTGGGTAGGAAGAATGTTCAAGGCATAGAAAACAAATTAAAAGATGGCTCTGCCACAGGTAAACGAAACAATCACCTTTGAGCACATCTGCCTTGGAATAGGACAGGAGTTAAATTGAGGAATGCTGACGCAACAAGGCAAGCACCCAGCCTCGGGGTTTGGGTTTCAGAATGGAGTGGTGAAGGGAGGGAGGCCCACGTTCTGGAGAGAAGCAGAAGCAATGTTTCGGATCATCAGAAAGGAGTGATAACGGAGGAGCAGAGTATTCCTAGGCATATCAGATGGCTACTTATGACTAATGACCAAGTGTGCTATGGGAAGATGGGGAAGATGTGGGTGAAATTTTCTACAGTGCTAGGGAAAGAAATCACAAACCTGCTTTAACTAGCTTGGTGGTGCCAGGGAAATAAGTTGATTGGACAACAGAATCTTTAAGGTCCAGTGCCAATCCAGCAAACTGTAAAATTTTCAATCTAGGCTATAGGATTGGGAGTAGAGAGAGGGAAAGACTCTGAACATTCGGATAGTGGAAATAAATAAGAAATCTGGATGTGGCAGTTATTAGAAATTAGAGCACACCAGTTTCTGTTGGCTGATGGAAGAGAAAAATGGTAGTAATGGGCCATTTTCCCAGAACCTTTGCTCTCAGCACTTATCATGTAAATGTTTGATGACATCAAACAAATGACATCACCAGAGAAATGAGGGAGAAAACAGAAAAAAGACCAATGGGTGGATAGATGGGTAAGTGTACAAAGTCTAGATTTTCAGCCACTGGATTTAATTTCTCTGAAGATACTTGTGAAAATAATAAACATGCTTCATCAACTTTTATGTATATTTTGTAAAAGTCTTGAGCTATTCTGTTATTACCATGAAATGTATTTCAAGGCTTTAGCCTCCAGTGGGAAAAATAAACAGAAATTTTCAAATAATTTTAAAAATTCCTTCCTGAGACAAGAATATTTATTCATTTATTTGAGACAAGGTCTCGCTCTTCAATTCAGGCTGTCCTTGAACTCACTATGTTGCCCACGCTGGCCTCAAACTTGCAGCCATCCTGCCTCAGCCGCCCAAGTGATGGGATTACAGGTGTGCATCATCACATCCAGCTGACAAGAATATTTTAATTTGGAATTATTTGAACTGTTTTAACCCCTGACTTCTTCCATACAAATATATGTGAAAACCCACTATACATATTTCATTTGTTTCCAGGTTTTCAAAAAGACTTTTATTAGTATGTTTGCAGTACATAATGATTACATTTACTGTACGGGATTGGTACCTGTACATAACACATTTCAATTCCCTTTGTATCTCCCCTCTCCACCCCCTTTTTATTTTTCCAGATCAATAAGATATACTTATGACATACATACACACACACACACACACACACACACATATATATATATACTGCTCTCTCTATATAGCAATGCAAAGATTATATGTTTTATTTTGGTACAATTTTGGGAGAGGAAAACTACACCCAGTTTCACCCATTTGGTCATTGTTTTAATAGACCCCAGCCACACCAAGCTCTAGATTGGGTTCTGTTCTCCATATTCATCTGCATTATCGTCCAAATAACTGTGGACTTTTTGTCTTAAAATGCTTAAAAACTGTGAAATTCTCACGGTTAGCAAAAGAATAGCAAGTAGTTGAGGAAGGTACCCTAGTAATGATCAATTAGAGACATAAATTAACCTTGTGTAGCTTCCAGAGATAAGCACTGAGAAAGCCTTTACAGAATGAACAGGATCTTACCAGGTACATATTGGGCCGCGAGAGGGACAAGGAGGTAGGAGAGAGATTCGAGTAGAAGAGGAAGAGTTCCGTGGGGTGCACTGACAGACAATGCCTGCTGGGGACCCAGAATAGCAAGTCGCTCTGATTTTGCCTGAGCACAAAGGGTCTTGGTAATGGGTTTATCTACCGTCGTCTGTTTGGATATCAGTTGGGTGAGTGGTAAGAGATGTCAGCATGTGACAAGCTTAGAAACAATGAATCGGAGCTGTAGCACGCCACAGAGGACCAGCAAAGAATTTGCACCAAGAGAAAGGCGTGGTAGGAATTTAACCTGCACGCTCTAATCCGTAATAGGCTGAGCTGAAGGAGGAGAGACTGAGTAGTGGATGAAGGCTGGTCACAGTTCTAATGGACCAGAAGCTATGTTCTGTAACAGCTGGGAAGGAGCGCTAACAGGGGCTGAGTATCCCGGCAAGACAGACCCTTAGGACTCATGCCCCAGTCGGCTAAGGGGAGAAGGGGAGGGGCAGGTCTGGGAGAGGCCGCGTGTGAGGATGTGCGCAGAGAACAGAGGAACTTGGTCTAAACTGTTCGCGTGAACTCTCTGTGATCGGACTCCTTGGAATTTAAACTGTGAAGCCCCTGCTAGATTTGAAAATGTTGTTGATTGGTTGGCTTGCTTTTTTATTGGGCAATCACAAAGGAGCTTTTTGTGGCGGAGAAAGATGTAACTGAAATGATGCCATAGGACGGCCAGTGTAATCACGATACGGATTTGAGAAAGGCTAGTCACCCTTCACCCTGGTACTGAACAATCGGAGACTAATTAATCCTGGTCACCATGAGGCAACCTTCAAAGAATCAAATCGATAGTATTTGACTGCACTGAGAGGCACGGTGACGTCTCCCATATTTTAAATCCATATGGCCAGGAAAATGGTGATCTCCTTGTGGGAAATAAGACAGTGATTTGGGAAGAGGGACAGTAAGTGTATTTTGACTGGAGAGTAATAACAGTAGCAGTTCCATGAAGAAATGTCTAGAAGCAGAGCTGATGTTCCTAACTGAAGGAGAGCTGCAGATAATACAGCTGTACTTCGGTACTCACTGGCTTCAGTACTTAGATCCAGTACAGCAGGCTGACTTTCGTCCAGTAAAATGTGAAAGTTCTGTAGGGAACTTTCACAAATTATTTCTAACGGGAAAACTTTGTTCTGTACTAGTTGGTTTGGGCACTCGTGCTTTCCAGAAGGAATTAACGAGGAGCGCCCAGGTACTACTGTAGTCGCAAGCTGTTAACACAGGGATAAAACTCCGGGTGGCGGGTGTCTGTGCTTGAAGACACAGAAGTAACAAACGTAGTTACAAACGGAAGATACGACCAAGGGCCGGCCGAGAAGGGGCCACCCGGACAGATGGAAAGGACAGAAGCAGTAGGAGAGCGCGCAGAACTGGCAGAGGTGAAAGTAAATGTGAGCCGCCAAGGAGCTTGGGGCGCGCCGTTCGGATCGCCCCCCACTCCGGATCTGGGGCTTCCGGCTCCCAGCTTGCCCGAGCACAAGTGGTCCTGGTAATTAGTGGCTTACCTACCAGTGTTTGAGGACTGTTAGTTTGCCCTTCAGGACAAAGGCTCCCTAAGAGCAAGAACTTCTGTGGGGTCATTTAGCAGCGTGTCACAGGGAGGGGCCTCAGGTGTCCTGAGAGCAGTTTCGGGGGACGGGGAGGTCGCCCGTAAGGTGTCTGTCAAGGAACGCACCAAGCGTGAGATTCTGGGGGACGGCGGCAGGGAGCTGGGAGGGATCACTCTGAGAGGTCGAAGAGTCAGATTTGTAATTCTAAGGCCAGAGCGGCCCGGTTAGGTTTCTAAAGTGGTGAAAGGCGGTGGGGAGGAGAATGAGGACGCAGGGAAAGGCGGCGCTAAGGACTGCAGAGGGAGCCTGAGAAGGAGCTGGCGACACGGGCGAGACCGGGCTGCGGGAAGGCGCGGAGAGATGCGCGGCGCACGCAGGGGCCCGGAAAACCAGGGGCTAACGGAGGAGAACGCTGACGTTAAAGCGCGAGTGTGTATCCGTCTGTGCGACCCTTGTGGCTGCGTTGTTTTACATCTTCAGCTTCCTTTGCCCGGCTGCATTGTTCCCGTCCCGCTAAATGGCACCTGCGGCTTCTTTGTTTTCCGGATCGGCAAGTTTCCCGGAGAGGCCAGCGCAGCCGCAGAGGCCCCGCGGTT